AAAATACATAACTGGTGGTCACAACGCCAAAAAAAATGTATCAAGTTTAAAGAATAAAACATGTGATCTTTTTTTTAAATAGATTTTAGATTTCTTTTCCTTTCCCTTCCTTTGTAATATATAAACGTATGTATAAACGTATGTACGTATAAACGTATGTAAAAACGTACATATAAACGTATGTATAGTAAACGTATGTACGTATAAACGTATGTAAAAATGTACGTATAAACATATGTAAAAAAAACGTATAAATAAACGTATGTACGTATAAACGTATGTATGTATGTATGTATGTATGTATGTATAAACGTATGTATAAACGTATGTACGTATGAACGTATGTATAAACGTATGTATAAACGTGTGTATAAACGTATGTACGTATAAACGTATGTATGTATGTATGTATGTATGTATAAACGTATGTATGTATAAACGTATGTATGTATAAACGTGTTGCGATACGTTTGAAATTCTTGGAAAGAGGGGGACGACCTTCCCCCTCTTCGATTTTAGAAGTATTACGATATACGAATTATCGCAATTTATGAGGATGTGATCAGTCTTACGATACCCGCTTGTACGAACGGTTGAAAATGTACTTCGCCAAAGAGAGCAGCGCATCGAACGACGTGAAGAAGGAACATAACATGTAAGTTTCAACGTTTTTTATATAATAAATAATGTTTTTTATACAATAAATAACATTTTTTCAATATTATGTATATACACAGTATGGAGCGTCGCGCGGTGCGCTTACTGAGCAGACGTTACGACCTGACGAGTACTGGCTATAAGTATTTGGAAATTGGAATCAACGTTGGTCCACCGAGTTACATAGAGATCGCCCTGGGAGATCATCGCGGACACGAACTGTCGCTGTCTCTTGAAACGTGGAAGGGCCTCTACGAGCAGCGATGGAATATTTACAAAATGCTGCGAAACAAATACAAGGACAATTTTATAAGCGTTGGACCGCTAACCGTCAGAGTTTGCACGGTGCAGAACAATGCTACGCTCGTACGTCTCGATTCTTCATCCGTACGCATGATGATGACCGAAACGACGCTACACCGTATGTTCGAGTTTGACGGGTGTATCGATCTAATGTTCGAACAATTAGTCCGACTCGTCGATATGGGGTTGATGTCAAATATACGAAATTCTCCAATATCGCGTTCAAGAACGCTATACGCGATAGTGATGCCTTCAATGTACATCAGCTCGTCGATTGTGAGCTATTAGCTTTA